CTACTCGTGTGATATTGCTCATATATATATATATATATATATATATATATATATATATATATAATATAGATTAAGATATTATAGGAATTACTGTGAAAAATAGTGGGAAATATTTTTAAAAAAGGGAAATTTATTTACAGGAGGGCGACTAATTTGACTTCAGCTGTATTTGTGAAATAGCAACTCATGCCTTGAGAGGTTTTAGTAGTTTTATACTGTGTGTGAAGGTGTAGCAGTGTTTAGCTTGAGCTGCGCTCTGTGGTGATCTTTATTCAGGTCACAGACAGTGACAGCCGTGCTTTAATGGATTTGGTCATAATTCAGTGTATTGTCTGTCATGCAGTGATTTGTAGAAGGTCTGCTCATCTGAACATCCCTGGCATTCATTTACAGCTCAGATCCAGAGCTGCAGCTCCTGTGCATCTGAGTGACACTCAATCAAAAAGATTGCGAGCAGCATGGTGGCTCAGTGGTTAGCTCTGTCGCCTGAACGCAAGGAGGTCGCTGATTCGAGCCCTGGCTGGGTACGCTGCCATTTCTGTGTGGAGTTTGCATGTTCTCCCCGTGCTGGCGTGGGTTTCCCCCACAGTCCAAACACATGCGCTATAGGGGAATTGAAGACTAACTAAATTGGCCTTAGCGTATGAGTGTGTGTGTGTGTGTGTGTGTGTGTGTGTGTGTGTGTGTGTGTGTGCGTGTGTGTGTGTGTGTTACCTGGAAGAATCATGTGAATGTTTTGTGTAAAAATTTAATTTGTGATATTTTATGTATGTGTATTTTTGTTTCTGAAACTTTTTGAGCTGCCATTTTGGCCAGGACCCCCAGGTAGAAGAGATCCCAATGGGAAATTCCTGGCAAAATAAAGGATAAATAAAATAAAATAAAAAGAGAGACACGCATGCGATCCCTGCTGAAAAAAACAGCTTAAACCAGGTTAGTTGGTCTTAGTTGGTCAGGCCTGAAAGTGACCAGCTAAAACCATCCAAAAACAGCTTGACAATCCTGGTTTAAGCTGTACATAGCTGGGCTCCCAGCCTGGCTAGGCTGGTCTAGCTGGTCATCTCCCATCCTGTCCTGCAAAAACCAGGCTGGAAATGGCTTGAAACCAGCCTGGAAGTGGTCAAAAACCCCTCTAAAACCAGGCTGGTTGACCAGCTAAAACCAGCCAACCATCCTAAGCTGGTTTCAGCTGGATATTTCAGCAGGGATGTGAACGTGACGTTGCATTTTCACTCACACCGACAAAATTAATGTTTTTTTTTGTTGTTTTTTTTTTTACTAAATTTACAATTATTTATTCAATTCCCTTCGGCTTTGTCCCTTTATTCATCAGGGGTCGCCACAGTGGAATGAACCGCCAACTTATCCAGCATATATTTTACACAGGGGAAGCCCTTCCAGGTGCAACCCAGTACTGGGAAACACCCATACACTCTCACATTCACACGGACACATACACTACGTCCAATTTAGCTTACCCAGTTCACCTATCCGCTTGTTAAGTGACGTCACACGAAGCAGCTTCCGGGTCCAAGCGCTCTATTCAACTGAATGGGGAGATTCATGAAATGGTAATAATAAACGTTTACAAGACGATTTAAGGCTTTCGAAAACCACGATCGTAGTATATATGTCCATGCCTAATATCCGATGGCCAGAAAGTGATTCATTTTTTGATAAATTGTGAAATTTTTGGTATTTGTTATGCAGCAAGCCCAGAGATTGTTGTGTACACTATGACTTTATATAAAATTAACTTTAATGTGTGATAGGAATAAAATGTGAACATAAACGAATGATTTCTCCACTCAACTGAATGGCGGCTTGGACCCGGAAACAGTATTACAAACGTCACAAACACGTCACCACTTAACAAGCGGATAGAACATGTGTTTGGACTGTGGGGGAAACCAGAGCTCCTGGAGGAAACCCACAACAACACAGGGAGAACAAGCAAACTCCATACAGAAATGCCAACTGGCCTAGCCGGGACTCGAACCAGCTACCTTCTTGGTGTGAGGTGAACCACTAACCACTAAGCCACTGTGCTGCCCCCCACATGCATTTATACAAAATCCTGAATTGCTGTGACACACACACACACACACACACACACACACACACACACACACACACACACACAGCTGCTGGTGGTGGTGGTGAGTTAGCTCTGCGGAGAGAGTTAAAGTGTGTCTGGTGTTCACAAACAGCAGGACTATTCTTGGCTCTGCTGCCCTGAATAACTTAGATAGGGAGTTTCTGATATGGGAGCAGCGGCACGTGTGTCTGAGCGCAGCATGTGATGCTCTCCCCTTTCAGAGACACACACCAGCACGGCATTATGGGTAACTCTCACTGAACATGTTGAAATGAACATGACTCTGCGTGTTCAGATTCAAAGCTCACATACTGTTGGTCAGAATTATTAGCCCCCCACCCTGTATATTTGTTTCCCCAACTTCTGTTTAACACAGTCTTTGCCATGATGACAGCACATAATGTTTTAAAAGATGTTTTTAAGACACTGTATTCAGCTTAACATGACGTTTAAAAGCTTAACTAGGTTACCTAAGCAAGTTAGGGTAATTAGGCAAGTCATTGTTTAACGATGGTTTGTTCAGTAGACAATCAAAAAAATAAATTGCTTAAGCAGGCTAATAATATTCACCTTAAAATGATTTTAAAAATATTAAAAAACAAATTAGACTTTCTCTAGAAAAAAAAAGATATTATAGGAAATACTGTGAAAATCTCCTCGCTCTGTTAAACATCATTTGGGAAATATTTCATGAGTTCACGCTTAGCTCACGATTTATACATAGCTTGTTTGGCGTGCTGTCCCGGAAGAGAGCCCTGAGCTCAAGGAATCCTCGAGCCCAGAGCTTCTCTCTTTCGCAGAGCGAGGGGAGACTGAGCTCAGGTCGATCTCAACTCTCCCGCTGCTGGCCAAGGAGAACTTCCTGAGTGTAAGACATTAGAAAAAAAGTTTTAGGCTTATTTTATTTATATAGAGCATATTTGGATGGTGGAAGAAAACCGGGGAAACTCAACACAGAGGAACATTTACACCTCACTGCCTACTAGCGTTTCGGAAGTGTTAATGCAGACCAACAGAGACAGCGCGCAAAGTATAAATGCACAGCTACGCGCGTTGCCTGCGCTGTGAGTTACGCCGGTCACTTGATGCAGAAGTATAAACCAGGCTTTAGTGTCCCACCAGTGACGATATACAACCATATTGCACTGCTACTAGTGTGATATTGCATTTATACAACAGTTTGACGACATAATCGTATGTATAAAAAAGAGAATCAAACATGGAGAGTCTAAAAATCCTTTTGTATGAGGAACTACTTTCTTCCTCCATTCATTCACATCTGCAGCTGACGTCAGAACAGCAGAAGCCGTTACTAAAGGTGTACTCACACTATGTACAGCTGCCTTGAACCGTGCTGAAGCACGCTTGTCCCCAGTCATCGATGATGCGCTGTTCAGTAACAGAAAAAAACGCTTTCGCTCAGCACAGTGGAGATTTTAGTAATATAATTTTAGTAGTTAGGGATGCAGTGACACTCAAATATTTTGCCGAACAGATCCGCTATTTTTGATGCTCATAATTAATTTTGAAAGTCCTCGCACTGTAGGTATTAGGAGGTTTGCTGAAAGTGCAGCTGAGGTGCAATGAGGGGTTTGCGTCTTTAATGAACTACGACAGTTTGCCTTCATTGAACAGTAAGTATGATTAATAAATCCATGTGAAACAGTCCCCTAAAAGTCACGTCTCGTCTTCAGTTTCAAGCTTAGGCGTGCTTTGCACTCACACTATAAGCGTACCGCACCGAAACCCAAGTGAACCGCGCTCTGGCACACCTTTTCCAACTGGGCCAGAGCAAGCCAACAGAACCATGCCTGAGCCTGATTCAGACCACTCACACTTCTCAAACCATCCGGGAAATGCGCCTGGGCACCATTCAGATAGTCTAGTGCAGGGATGGGCAAACTTGATCCTCGAGGGCCGGTGTCCTTGCAGAGTTTTGTTCCAACACTAGTCAAACACACCTGAACAAACTAATCAGTGTCTTCAAGATCACTAAAACTCTATAGGGAGGTCTGTTTGAATAGGTTTGGAGCTAAACTGTGCAGGACACCGGCCCTACTGGACCGAGATTGCCCACCCCTGGTCTAGTGTGAGTATGCCCTAATTCACCAATGTAACTTTAGAGCTAGTGTTTGAATGATTCTCTAGCGTAATTTCTAAAGGGATGACAAAACAGCTGGTTTCGCTTACATTTTAAGATTATAAGGCTGAACGACATGACATGCCATCAGTCTACAGAGATTTCCCAGTATTTCTCTATACTATTCGGAGATCACAATAACTCAGAAAAAGCCAAAAGCAAATCAAACACTACCAGATTACTATGGTATAAATACAGCACTACAACATACAAAAGAGAGAGATCGACTTAGAATGTCACTTACCTGATCTGTAATGATTTGTTCAGCTTTAGTTTGAAACTTACACATAAAAAAGGCTTTTTTTCTCCCCATAGGACTTATTATGCGCTCTTGGTCGGCATCTAGAGGCGGAATTTCAACCATCTTTGCTCTGCTTAGTATGACAGGCTGATGGCCGCTGATGCACTGAATCCGCAATTTTAAATATTTTAAATAGCCACTATCCTTATAAATAAACTGCATAGTTGCAGTCTAAACAACTACATTCTCACCTAAAAAAACTCAAAAGTACATGAAGTTGTCAAACAGCTGCAATATTTGTCAAACTGTAGTCCTCTGCTTGCCACTCGTGTGGGTGGAGTAATACACAAGCGTGAAGAGGCTGTACGGATGCTGATATAACTTCAATATCTCACGGCTATCAGTCAGTCAGATTCGAGAACCAGACAGAACTGTTGTATAAAATGATATAAAGATTTGTCTAATTTGTTTGTGTGGATGTTCTGCAATATATTAAAACAAACACTTTGACATCAACCAAAAACTTCAAATATCTGTTTATTTATTTTAAAAGATAATATACGACAATGCAAAAATTTTCTCTCCATAACATACCAAACTTATCTGAGCCATTATATAAAAATTTGATTGTGTGAAACATTAAACCCCTACTATACTAATAACAATCCATCATTTAAGCAGATACTAATTTGCAAACACATAAATGAATCAACAACCATCAAAAGACACCTGAATTCATATTCAAAACGTATTTCTATAACTCATTTTCTTCATTCACCCGTATGTTTAAGATAAAAAATAATAAAAACTGATTCATAAAAAGAAATTATTTGACAAAAAAAGCACAGCAAAACAAATAATTAACTAACAATGTAATCAAATGAACCTGTTGTGCATTATCTCTAGTGCAAGAGTTACCATCCAGGTGAAAATCTTCCCTTCTCAACATTTAGTAACGCAGCGGAGCAGCTCTACGCTTTATATCCCAGTGAGGAGGCTGTTTTCTGCAGACTTCACTGTGCTCCGGTGAGCCGCAGGGTCCAGGCTGAGGACCAGGGCATCTGACTGGGGGTCAGTGGAGGAAGCTTGACCTTCAGACCTGTGGGAGTTGTCGACTGCCATGTCACTGACCCAGAGCCCAGCAGCGCCACCTGATTGGAAAAAAAAGCTCCTTCTTAGGCTTGATCCTAATTTTAGCCATTCTTGTGGTTTTCCACATGGACTTTCAATTATCAGTCAGCTAGCCCAAGTGCTTCCGATGAACTGTCTTGCTCTTACAAAAGTGCCATGTTTAAGATCTGATTACTTTAAAAATCAGTGATCTTCACTGCCTGACTGATATACTATATAAAGTGGGTCTCAAACCACACAAGAAGCACCGCATTAAAGAGCCCCTCTTATGGGTTTTTGAAAATGACCTTCCATGTAGTGTGTAACACAGCTCTAAGTGCAGTGAAATATCCAGCTAAGGCTTAAATCTGAAAGTGTGCCATGTTTAAAACTATCGATTCATCTATGAAAGAGTCAACTTAGAGTGATTTAAATGAATCGTGGAGGTAACAAATCTTTAGCTGTGTCGGCGTGACGTCGATACGGAACTCAAGCCCTGCCCATTTGTTGAGCGTGCAGACAGAGAAAATTTAAACCCCCAGTCAAAAACACTGCAGCAAAAAAAGAAGAAAACAAACACTGTAGCAGATCCCGGCTGAATCAAGTCGCGAAGATGCTGTGGTCTGAAGTGTGAGGGGAAAGTTAGTGCTATTTTCCCTACCCAAAGATGAGGCTGCGAAGAGTCAATAGTTAATGTTCATTTTTGCAAAAATACCTCAGCATTATCGCCCCAGCCTTGTGCTGTGTTCCTGTCATTTTTCTGACGAGTGCTTCAGCAATCTACATGCTTACGAGGGATTTATCAGCCATTTGTTTAAGGTAGGACCAGAAAAGACTGTTGATATATGAGACTTTATCAGAGCTTGACAAGAACTTTACAGTTACTTACACAGTTCTTAGATCAGTTCCTTCATTTCACAAGTGTAAATAAGTGCCATTAAAGGGGTTGCCTTCTTGTTTTTTCCAGCTTGCAAATAAAGTGTTTAATTGTGATGTTACTTGTAACTGCTTGTACTGTCTCTGATTAACTCTTTATATTCTCATATCACGTCTAAAACCATGTTGAAAACGCGGCGCGTGCTGCTTTCCCTACGGATTTAAATGTGTTCGTGAGCTTGCGATCTACTGCCATTTGTCGTTACTATGGCCACTATCAGCTGTTCCTACACACATGCGGTGGTCAAGTTTAAAAAAAGTTCAGCTTTAGCCGCTGTGTGCATTAACACTGAAAGTGTGTCACTGTTTTTACTTATGATTAAGTATAGAGCAATATGCTGGTGTTTAACTGCATTGCTTTAATGCACTCTTGCATTGGGCTCCTGCAAATCCAGGAGTGGAATGGTTTTTTCAAAAGTCTCTGAAAAATGTTCGGGAGTGAGGTGTCTCTGTACTGTGAGGTGTTCATAACTGTGCTGTGAAATAAGTAACTGTACTATGGAGCAGATTTCGGGTGGCTGCTGCGATCAGATATTAAAACTACTGAAATTCCAGGAGAAATAACAAAACGGGAGGGTGGCGGGAGATGGGTCTGAAATACGGAAGACTCCTGGGAAAAACAGGAGTGTTGGCAGGTATGCTCACACAAACACTCTGCACTCGGACTACTTCAATATTGTTGATAAGCCGTGGTGGGCATTTCTTTCTGTCTCACACTGAATGCAGTCGACCAATCACAACAGACTGTGTCATCGGACCAATAAGCGCAGATTAGCATCACGCTAAGGATACAATTTTTTAGGTAAAGATAAATGCATATTATAAGACAAGGAAATTGTTTTTTGACCTAACATGCATATAGACCTGTTGTTAAAGAGACCCCCAAAACCAAAATGTGACATTTTTTAATGCATAACAGGGGCTCTTTAAATTCTATTTTTAACTATTCCAGCATATGTTTTACACAGCGGATGCCCTTCCAGCCGCAACCCAGTACTGGGAAACATCCATCCACACTCATTCACACACACACACACACACACTCATGCACTACGGCCAATTTAGTTTATCCAATTCACCTATAGCACATGTGCTTGGACTGTGGGGGAAACCGGAGGAAACTCACGCCAACACGGGGAGAACATGCAAACTCCAGCTCGAATGCGAACCAGCAAACATGCCACACACATTTGACAAGAAATATTTTCATTAACTAACATTAACAAATATGACTAAACATGGAGCATTATTATAAAGTTTTACCAGAGGGTAAAATGCTCTTAGCAAACAAGTGTTATATATAAGATATGTAATGCATTTTTTTTTACTTCTGCAGTGAACATTACCTGAGTCTTGGCTGCAGACACCACAGGATCAGTCAGAACAACAATGCCGTCACTGGGCCATGAAAGGAAAATAGCATAGATGGCACCGCTCTGCTTATTCATTGTATACCTGTTCAAATGAACAAAATTATGCTTTCATTTAATTGACCGATATGCAAGAGTACTCATGCAATCATTGCTTTAAACAAGACAAAAACCATAAGTAAGAAAAGCTTTTTTTTCCCAGTGTGGGATGTGAGATTGTTGGTTGTGGAAGTCGATCGGTGCAGCATTGCTTTACAACTAAGGAGGGAGCAAGCTACTATCATAAATTAAAACAAGAAATGGCACAAGAAGTGAAGGACAAGAGGTGAAAAAACTGTTTGGCTCCTCAGGAAGCAAAGGTAATGCTTATAATGCTTTATAAGCTTGCAAAATTTCAATGAAAGGGTTCAGCGTGTTGAAACAGCAGCATCAACTCTGAGCCAAACTTGTTCATTTGACAACTGATTCAGTGTTGATGCTAGGAGGAGTTTGGGTAAACCGAAGACTTTGAATGAATGGATCTCATGAAACTTTATAGCCAGATGACTCCTGATGATGACTTGTTCGACCGGTTCACTAAGAAGAACTGGTTAATTAATTTGTTTGCACACCAGCCATCAAGAGAACGCATTTTCAAAACCACTCTGACTCGGCATTTATGGTGATTTATTAAAACATCTTAAAAGTGAGTGTTGATGCATTAAAAATACATGTAATTTACAACTTTGCTACCTTTTTGCTTTACATTTGGCCCAGAATGCATTTTAATATGCATGTTGATTATTGAGCGGCAAAAAATGCTTTCTTACTTTGAGGTTTTGTCTTTGTTGCCCAAATATCTAAAGATTCTTAAATCAAGAAGCCTTTTTTAGAAAAGCAAAAAATGTTGTTTTGTGTTCAGTAATAATTTATCAAAATTAAATGAGGTTTTAATTAAAACAAGCTAAATAATCTGACAATATGTTAGATTAGTTTTTGCTTTGACATAAGATGATTTTGCTTACCCCACTGGCAGATTATTTTACTGCTTTTAAGGAAACACATACTGATTTTTGACATAATATTGTTTAGTTTTCAGAAATAATTTTAGCTTGTCTAGGAAATGCTTCTTGATTTGAGAATCTTTAGACATCTGGACTAGAAAGAAGACAAAAACCTTAAGTAGGAAAAGCATTTTTGCAGTGGACATTTTCAATTTAATTTAGCTACTTTTAATGCATTAAAATCAGAATGTAATTTACAAATTAAAATTGTGGTTGTAAATGGCAAATGTAAATAATATAATACAAATTTTCATTTTGCATAAAATAACTACATTTTAATTTTGCACCAAACTGCAGGAAGCCAAATTATCATCTGTATTTGTTTATATGGCTAAACGTGTCTTTTCCACCAAGAGAGTTCATACAGATTCCAAAGGGAGATACTGATGAGACTGGTGTGTGGACTTTGGGGGTATTACGATGTGTTCCCATGTTTATTGGTCAGTTTGTATGTCTCATGCTTTGGTCACATGGTCAAGAAAGATACAAAATAGTTTGCTCTTCTCTTTTCTGCTCAGCTCCTCTCCAGTTCTGGCTCTACTGCTCTCAGGCTCTCTTTAGGGCCTACTCACTGCTCTCTGTCTCTCTCTCTCTCTCTCTCTCTGGTAATTTTATTTTACATTTAAGCTGGGTACAATAATTATCAAATATTTTTATCATTTCATGTTTTATCATTTTATACAGATATTTGTAACTAATTCAGTTGAATCATTTCATTTTCAAGAATTGATGAATTACATTTGATTTAACATCAACACTTAACTGCTCCATATTGCACAATACAATACAATCACATAATAGCAACGCTCTCCCACATTTTTAGCGATTATAACTGCCCTTATTTCCATTTTTGGTAAAAGATTGGAGAAGGATGGTTTGATTAGAAAGTCCAGTTATTTACCATTATACTGATAAATGTATAAAGACATTGTCATTTTATAGACTGCACTTCCATTTTGCGTAATTCATTTTAAAATTAATTATGGTTCATATAGACCATTTTGTGGGATGTAAACAAAGACAATGGTCCCAACAAATTTCCTGTTTTTCATTTTTAATTTATATAGCTTCCCAGAATCCAAAAAGAGCCACATATTGATAAGTAATGTTATGATAAGTAATGTATATATTAGATGTTAGCATTTAGTTATGATTGAATTGCCTCTTGTTACAATTATGAAGTAGTTTGTTAACAAGCAGGAAATGTTTATGGGCCAATGGCATGATGGTCTATTAGAACAGCATGATGGTGAGTGATTAATGACCACAAACAATTCCTCACCCAAAAAATCAGAAATAAGAAAGGAAACTAGAGGTTCTGATTAGGAAGTTACTGTATGAGAGAAGTGCAAAATGCTCTCCTTACTTATACTAGTCTTGTTTCTAGTCCAAATATCGAAAAATTATTTAATAAAGAATCTTTTCATAAACAAGCAACACATATTGTCTTGTTTTCAGAAATAATATGTCAAAATTGAGTGAGCTTTTCCTTAAAACAAGCTAAATAATCTGCCAATGGGGTAAGCTAAATAAGTTGATGTGAAACGGAAAAACAGGATTATTTAGCTTACCCCATTGGCAGATTATTTTGCTTGTTTTAAGAAAAAACTCAATTTTGGCATATTATTTCTGAAAACAAGACAATATTTTTTGCTTGTCTAGAAAATAATGCTTGATTTAAGATTTTTTTTAGATATTTAAACTAGAAACAAGACAAAATATCTAAGTAAAAAAAGCCTTTTTGACAGTGTGATCAGGAAACTGACCAAACTCCAGGAGTGGCGGTGTCGTTCTGGACTCTCCATGCGCTGCTGTTGTAAATGGCCTCTCCGTTCACCTTCAGCCACTGACCCATCTGACGCAGACGCTCCTCAAATATGGGCACGATGCGACCGTCATGAGTGGGACCAACATTCAACAGCAGATTCCCCCCGCAGGACACCGTTTCTACCAGAGACTGGAGAACACAAACAGAGAACTTTTACTATACTGTACTGTAGGGCTGCACAATATACACTACCGGACAAAAGTCTTGTCATGGATCCCAGTTGAAAGAGCAACAAATAATAACTTGACTTCTAGTTGATCATTTGGAAAAGTGGCAGAAGAATTTTTGCTTAAGGGGGTTAATAATATTGACCTTAAAACGGTTCTTAAAAAAATAAGAACTGCTTTTATTCTAGCTGAAATAAAACAAATAAGACTTTCTCCAGAAGAAAAAATATTATAGCAAGTACTGTGAAAATTTCCTTGCTCTGTTAAACATCATATGGGAAATATTTAAAAAAGAAAGTAAAAATTCCACAGGAGGGTGACTATTTTTGACATCAACAGAATATAATAAAAACACAAACACAGAAATGTGTGTTTAAATGATTGTAAGGGTTCACTCACTGCTATGAGCTGCTCAGTGCTCAGGTAATCACTGAGTTTGGCTTCTCTCCTGTAGCCCCAGGATCTCTGGTCGATACTCAAGCAGTTTTCCCACTTGTGCTTCACCAGGTGGCCTGGGTTATAGCGGTCAGTGCAGGTGTAATATCCACCATGATTGCAGATAGAGCCGTAACCCCAGCGGTCATTGGTCACAACAGTTTCACGTACAGGGCTGGAAACACACATGACATTAGATACATCACTGCATCACAAATTTCCCAGTATTTACTCTCCCTTAAGTGCTCCATTATGAGTTTCTTACAGATTTACAGTTTCTTCAAAATATCTTCATTTGTGTTCGACAGTAGACAGTTATTTATTTAGGTTATAATGCCATATCAGCAGCATTGGCTATATTCATGGCAAAAACATATACTAAATATACATTATATAATCATATCAGTTTCTTAACAAACATACATTGTAAAAAACAAAACAAAAAAACATACAAGTAGCAACAACACTGAAAACATACAGTCAGTCATATACAATCTTTTAGTTTGATTAAAGATAAAAATTCTAAAATTGCTCCAGAAGGCACCTTTTCAAACATTTCACTTAAAATATTTCCCAAATAAAAACGCTCTCTAATATCACTTAAAAACTACACATTCTGTTAAAATGTTTTAACGTCAAAATATTCTCGCACAAGTCACAAATAGGTTTTTATTCCCCTTTCAATAAATATCCGTGTGTAAGTCCAATTCTAAATCTCGTATGTACTACCTGGTCATGTCTGTTTTCAAAATGATAAATATTTCTTTCATTCACAAATGGATTCACTTCATGCAATTTGCTATTCCTACATTCAACCCATTCTACTTGCCATTTCTTATTAAAATACATATTCATAACTGTCAACATTGGGATGTGAAAATAAGGGATATGCCCACCATAATAAGGGATTCCCCCGACCCCTCCCCCCAAAACAATCCCCAAATTACTAAATATGTTTACTTAGAGCTGTTTCGTTGTACATGAACAGTTAAATGGTCAGTAATATGTTTTATTATTATTATTATTATTATTAACAACAGAAAAAAATAAACATTAGCAGCAAATACATTAGCAAACTTCAGCTTATTAAAATTAATGACTATTATAATGAAATAGAATCAAGCTATCAATCTCATTAGCCGTTTCTCCACAGTATAACTTACACATTCTGATTAAAGAGCAACGAATGGATCTCTCATTTGTTAAGATTTTTTTTTTATTACATTAAATAAGAGGTGTCACTTTAAAAATGCAGACGTTAAAATGAAAGCATTCCACTGCTTTTGTAACCTTTTATGCTCATTTAAGACGAAATTAGTTGTGTTTGGGAAAAAAAACACCAAGATCGACATCCTTATATGTTATTATTATTAATTATGTGTGTATGTCTGTTTAAACACGCACCCAAAAGCCAGACTTTCTCTCCGCTTCAAATCGCGTGTACAGAATCCGTTTGGGAAACAGCATCAGTTTATCACTAATAAACAGCTGACTGGCATGCACCATTATAGGACTGTTTTGAGGATTATATAGGACGGGTGATGGCACCTGTAATCGAAAGGAAATGGAATCGCGCCGTTTTTAATATTTATTTATAAGTGTTTTCATTCCTAAACAATGCAAAAGCACAGAAGACTCACGTTTTAGAGCAAGGGGCGACCCCTGGTGGTTTGGCGGTATGGGTTGCGCATAGGAAGGCTCGACTGTTCAGAGAAAGGCTGAAAATACGGGAGAAATACGGGAAAATACCTTTACGGGATAATAGCGGGATAGAACTGTAAAATACGGGAGAATCCCGGGAAAAACGGAAGGGTTGACAGGTATGCATATTTAAAAAGGGTTTAACATCAGATCAGAATTTTACATTCTGTAATCTCCAACTGTAGGGCTTACTTGGCTGCTTTATCTGCACGTTCGTTTCCAATGAATACCATATCTCCAGCAGAAAATAATATCAAAGTCTTTAGTCTTTAAAAGGTCGACTTTTTCTATTATACTAAAAATCATAGGATGATCAGTTTCATTGATTCAAGTGCTTGACTTGTAAACAGGAATCTGTGCAAATTAAAAACTGCTGTTGCTATTTGTTTTCTATTTGTTCCAGAGCTAAAAACAGGGCATAAGCTTCAGCTGTGAATATCAAGCTTTGTCCGGAAATACTCTTTCTGGAACACTCTGAACCGATCACTGCTGCACCAGATACTTGCCCATCTGATTTTTAACTATATGTATACACTGGTACATAAGTTGGTAGATTGCATCGTATATTCCTAAATTCTTCCTGGTAAACGTTTGGGTTGGTTTCCCTTTTTTTAAAACTGAGATTGACAGAATACAGAAGGTTTTGAACATGTGAAGGGTGAGTAAATGATGACAGAATTTTCATTTTTGGGTGAACTACCCCTTTAGGATTTAGAACATTCATTCATTCATTCATTTTCTTTTCGGCTTAGTCCCTTTATTAATCAGGGCTCGCCACAGCAGAATGAACCGCCACTTATCCAGCAAATGTTTTACCCGGCATATACCTGTCCAGCTGCAACCTATCACTGGGAAACACCCATACACACATACACTATGGACAAGTTAAGTTTAATTCATTTAATACAATTTTAAAACTTAATGCCCTAATTTCATAAAAACACAAACAATTAAATAACTTTTCTTTATTGACTTGTTTTTACCGCAAGTGTGACCTTTAAGTCTGGGTTATAGATTGAAATGGACTTTGCATTGGATATTTAAACACTCAGACTTACCTCTGATTGTAAAGCCATGCGAGGAAGCCAGTGCTGTTCCAGTACTGATCGGGTGCATCTCCGTCTCCGTCAGACCACAGCAGGTCTGGTTTGTACGTGTTGATGAGTTCGTAGAGCTCAGGCAGGGTCTTTGCAGTGGGAAACACGTTGGTTTTGAACTTATTGTCAGAATCAGATTTGAACATGGGATTAAACCACTCGAACAGTGAGTGATAGAGGCCGAGCCGCAGGTCAGTGCGTGTGCGCAGAGCAGTGGCGATGTCGTTCACCAGATCCCGCTTCGGTCCGACTGAAACTGCATTCCACGTCCACGAGTACTTGGAGCCCCACATCGTGAAGCCTGGGGAAATAAACATACATGTACAGTTGAAGTCAACATTATTAGCCCTCCAGTGATTTCTTTTTTCAAATATTTTCTAAATGATGTTTAACAGAGTGAGGAAGTTTTCACAGTATTTCCGATAAAATTTTTACTTCTGGAGAAGCTCTTAGTTTTATTTCAGCAGTATATAATATTTATTTATTTATATATTTTTTAACATTTTAGGGTCAATAATATTAGCCCCCCTTAAGCAATATTTGTTTTTGATTGTCTACAGAACAAACCACTGTCGCATTATGACTTGCGTAATTACCCTAACTTGCCTTATTAAGTCTTTAATGTGCACTTTGAGCTGAATACTATGTGTCTTGCTAAATATCTAGTCAAATATTATGTTCTGTAATCATGGCAAAGATAAAATAAATCAGTTAATAGAAATGAGTTATTAAAACTATTATGTTTAGAAATGTGTTGAAAATAAAACCCTGAACTATCAGTTAAACAAAAATTGGGGAAAAAGTTATACAGGAGGGCCAATAATTATGACTTTAACTGTATATCATATAATCAAAAATTATCTTAATCTTAAAACATACTGATAAACATTCAGGGCATAGTTCTGAAATTACATTAGTAAACATGAACTAACAGTGAACAATTTTTCTGTATGGGGTTATTACAGTTAACTTAAACAAAAATTTTGTGTTTTTAATATAAAAGTGTTTTCATTTCAAATCCTTGTTTTGTCATTTCATCCGAAAAACTGTATTTGTTTTTTATACTAAGTACAAAACAAAAAAGGCTTTTATAAAATAAAGTAAAATATTATTGATGTTTAGTCAGGACAACTGAATGTGTGATTCGGAAGAAAATAAACTGTAGACTTTAATAAAATAAAATAAAATAAAATAAAATTTAATTAAATTAAAAAATAAAATTTAGGTAATTGAAGAAAGAAAAATAAAATAATGAAACAACAACAACAATAACAATAATTATTATTATTATTATTATTATATTTTTTCAGAGGCAATTTGTGGTACCTTCCAAACCCAAAAATTTAATTAAATTACTTTAAATTAAATGAAACAGTATTTTAAAAGGGATCTATTGTGCAAAAATCACATTTATAAAGGCTTTAAATACAGTTATGTAGCAAAAGTGTGTATATATAATGTCAGCTTCTAATAGTAAAATTTTTTTTATTAATTTTCCTATGCCTTAGTCCCTTATTTATCAGGGATTTCCAAAGTGGAATGAACTGCCAACTACCAGTCACAGCCCAGTGCTGGGAAACACCCATACTTTCTCACATTCACTCACACAATACGGCCAATTTAGTTTATTCAATTGACCTGTAGTGCATGTCTTTGAACTGTGGGGGAAACTAGAGCGCCCGCAGGAAACCCACGGCAACACGGGGAGAACATGCAAACTCCACACAGAAATGCCAATTGGCCCAGCCGGGACTCGAACCGGCGACCTTCTTGCTGTGAGGTGAAAGTGCTAACCACCGTGCCACGGTTCAGCCATGGAAAAAACTAAATTGATTAAAATTGCTTTTTTAATGACACTTCTTAAAATCAGTGCAGAAACGTTGTGACTGACATTTACTGCAGATTTTTGTCATTGTTGCAAAAACTAAAATACGTTACAGTATAATTATGTATCATTAAAATAATTACAGTTACATAATATGCGGAAATAAAATGCAGTGTAGTCTGTGTCGGAATTTTCCACAAACCTTCATGATGCTTGGTTGTGAGGACAATATATCTGGCGCCAGACGAAGCAAAGATGTCCACCCACTCGTTGGGATCAAAGAATTCAGCCGTAAACTGAGGAGCAAAATCTGTATATGTGAAGCCGGGAGGATAGTTCTGCTCCATAAACTTCACATAAGACGGCCATTTCTGTCCCTGCCAGAACCACCTGTCAGAAAACAACACAAGATAACCACATATACATTATATGTACAGTTAAAGTGAGAATTATTAGCCCCCCTGACAGTACATAATGACTAGATATCTTTCAAGACACTTAAACACTTTTTCAAGACATTTAAAGGCTTAACTAGGGTATAGGCAAGTTAAGGTAATTAGGCAAGTCAATGTATAATGATGGTTTGTTCTGTAGACAATCGAAAACAAATATTGCTTAAGAAGGCTATTAATTTTGACCTTAAAATGTTTTTTTAAATATTTAAAAACGGCTTTTATTCTAGCCAAAATAAAACAAATAAGACTTTCTCTAGAATAAAAAGTATTATAGGAAAAACTGTAAAAAAAATTCCTTGCTCTGTTAAACATCATTTGAGAAATATTTAAAAAATAAATAATAATAAGGATAATTATCTGTATATAAACACTATCTTTTAAACTTTCCGTTTGTTTTTAGACAGGATTAAATAAATAAATTATTTAATCCTGTCTAAAAACAAACAGAAAGTTTGACTAAAGGCAGCTTGACTGTGCTTAAGAATGCATTAAGATATTAGTTTTTATTATTTTTAACATTTTACTAGTTCTATCAACTATCATTAAAACACTGCTAAAGCATTTATAATATCTTACTCAATGTTTATTTATATTTACTCAAGTCATTAATAAAATCTGTTTATATTTGGTACGCCCCATGTGGCTTGGAGGATGGAAAGGGCTAAAAATAATTATGAGACGTTAGCTGCTATGGATCCACACAGACAATGAATGTGGAAAAAGTGGTTCGCTTTATTTACAAAGACATGACCTTATAATAAACATTACGTATTTGATAACTATCAATGTGCATAACATCTCATTTTACTGGAGCAATTTGAAAAATGCGCACATCATGTTATTATTTTGTAATCGATTCATTTAAATTAGATTATTTTACATGACATTACATTACATTATTTTGTTTTGGTAAAAAATTACTTTAAAGTAAAACATTTGGGTGAAGCATGCATTTAATTGCATCAAAATGTTTAACAATTCATTTTTTACACATTCAACATTTCAAAGAAATCTAAACTACAAAACTATTAGATCATCTGCAAAAATAAATTAATTAATTAAATTTAAATAAATAAATGTAAATGAAATATATATATATATATATATATATATATATATATATATATATATATATATATATATAAACATAAATACTAATGGGTGAAGTTCTACAGCTATGTACATGCAGCTCTAGGGGAAAAAAATGACACCACTTCAAAACTTTCCATTAATAGATTTCTTTGAGCAACATGTTCCATTTTTGTTTTATTTTATAAACTAATAATAACATTTACAGATTTTCAAATGAGAATTTGATCATTTACAGCATCGCTATCCTTTTTTTTTTAACAATATAAGCTAAATTTCCACCAGATGGCACTAATATACTTCAATTTAATATAAATACATTTGCTTATTTACTTTCTTAGTTGAAAAACAGCAAAAAAGTGTTTTTATATATATATTTAAAACAATTTAGAAATAAATAGTCCATAGTTTAGTTGTGAATACTACTTACTAAAATTAAATGCCTTTAAAATAACTAGATATTAAAGAAAAATTAAACAATAAACAAAATATACCATATTCATTTTTACTGATTGTTTTGATACTCCTAAATGAGCATATTTACATAATATTCAAGTTTTCCCCCATCATTGTTTATTGCAGCACATATGCAAATCATATGCATGAAAAAGCACCATCTTAGTACAGTCGTGAAACTTTCTAATATAGTTTTTGCATTAAAGTAAAGTGTTGGGGTTATATTCACACATTTAGATTTTCTCCTTAATAATATAATTTCAGAAAAGTATTCTTCACAAACTCTAAATATTAAAATCATTTTAGCAGCCAATGATAATTAAAGTACAACAATGTTCACAGTCAATTAAGTAGTGGTAATGTTATTTTGAAGTCATACTAACATGTTATCTCAGACAGAATATTCAAAGTATCATGGTAAACAATATAGGGAGCATGTCACTTACCAGAACCATTCACTGCCAAAGCTGGGAACTGAAAACACTCCCCAGTGGATAAAAATCCCAAATTTGGCCTGATCGAACCATTCCGGTACAGGTCTTGAATCAATTGATTCCCACGTAGGCTGATATTGACAAACACAGCAACCGATCAGGAGTAAACAAACGGACAAAACACCGAAGAAACGCATCGTCCTGATCCACAACGATCACATGAGAGATGCTGAAATCACATGATAAAGGCAAAACATCATCAAAACGCCTGGAAAAAACAGGAACTGGTTCAACTTCCTCATTTTGACAACTTGTCTGACAGGAAAATGACAGTACTACGAGGTACTATGGCGAAGGCTGGGGTTATGAATATTAATTACGTACAGCGACGTTTGTGAGTTGTGATTGGCTGTAGAGCGGAAATCGCTCAAGGTCTTATAAATAATCATTGCGTCCACCTTTTATTCTTTCATTATTGAAGAGTAGTTGAACGTTACAATAGATAAAATAAATTTAGATACATAGTGATGAATAATATCCACGAGCAATATGATAGAGGAAAAAAGAAGATGAAAACTTAATGAAAAAATAACGAATAATAATAAATAAATGCATAAAATATAAACATAATACTATAAATAATGATATAGTATTTATAACAGTAGACATTGATTAAATGAGTAAAAATATATAATAAATGAATATATGTATAACTTTTCCTTAAAATTTCCTTAAGACACAATTAAAAATTACTGATATCAGGGGAAAAATCATTCAAACCGTCTAAAAGCAAGTCATTATTTGTTTATTTTTTGCAATTAATTTAATGTCTAAATATAGACGACTAGTCGTTAAAGTCTTCTAGTCATCTATCTGATTATCTGTTTATTTTTGGACTAATAATATCAAAAGCTCAAATTTTGTCTCGTTTTAGCCAATATGTTAATTATTTTATTTAATACACATTTTTAATGCGATTTAATAAATATTTTCTGCAGTGGTAGGCGTAAATGTAGCGTCACATCCGCTTCTGTTGTTTACATCCGCCGATCCATGTGGACTGTAGTTTTGAGCGATCTGAGCACTCTAAATCCATGCAAGGGTATATCGACTGTCACTGTCATATATCCGCCGAGGATTTTGACAGCGTAAGTGATAAATTTGCTGTATAGATGTATCATGAAGCAACCCAATAGTGTTTTTAATCGACAATGTGTGTTGTGATTATTTTAGGACATTGACGATGTCGTTGCGGAGTCCAGAAAGGTAGCTATATTCTGCTGTAATGTACACTTTGTCCTCATATTAAGTGCTAATTATTAATGCTTTAATTTCATTTTTAGGCTGGGCTTGTTGCCCTTCTTGCTGTAGCAGAACACGCTGGTGAATTTGAGAAAATTATTCAGCTCTCGCAAAGGTATATCTCATATCATCTGAAGGAATAAATCAGCTAATTATTTTAATTGAGGTAATTCAGACTTTCTCCTTAATAATATAATTTCAGAAAAGTATTGTTTGCAAAACTCTAAATAGGGAAATCATATTAGCAGCCAATGACTATCAAAGTACTACAGTTTTCAGTCATTGTATGGTTTTCAAGTCGAACTTGCATGTGATTTCAGACCCAATATTCAAGTATCATGGTAAACAATATAGGGAGCCTGTCCAGCCTGTCACCGAATGAATGTGTGAATATAAAACCAACTTTACCTTAGTATGGTTTCAAAGGTGTACTCTACCAAAATATGAAAACATTCTGTTAATAATATGATAACTGATCTAATAATTTGTTAAATGATACACAAAAATATTCCATGTCAATTATAATATTGAATCACTTTAGCAGCAAATGACTATCAAAGTACAACAGTGTTCACAGTCAGTTAAATAGTGCTAATGTTGTTTTCAAGTTGTACTTGCATGTGATTTCAGACCCAATATTCCATGTACCATGGTAAACAAAACAGGTAGTGTGTTACTGAATGAACGTGTGAATAAAAAACCAACTTTACATCAATGTTAAATTAATAATCATCCAAAATGTGGCCAACATTTTTTCCTGTGGTACTCTAGGATAAACTGAGATCTTAATGAAGTGAAACCATGAGGTGTGTTCAAGATAAACAAGTTAATTTGGCCCTAAATGTGTTCCTTTTCACTATTTTGAATTAGCAAACAATACTTTTCTGAAATTATATTATTGAGAAAGTCTGAATGTGCGAATATAAAACCAACTTTACCTCAATGTTAATTTAATAATCATTCAAAATGTAGCCAACCTATAGTACTCTGTGATAAACTGAGATCTTAATGAAGTGAAACCATGAGGTGTGTTCAAGATAAACAAGTTAATAGGGTATATGCCGAGCTAGTGCTGTTCCCATGCTGATACACTTCCGGTGACCTGTTATTGTGAACTTTTTCCCATTTTATACGGTTCCTTATACAGCATCGATGTTGTAATGTCATAAAAATACATTCAGTTAAATAAACTTTAGCATTTATTTAGTTGCTCAAGCGTAAAACGAAACAAAAAGCTGTTTACTCGCACGCGCCCGTCAGAATCGGCAGGCTAACGCAGAAGCTCCATTGAATATACAGGGGTAAAATAAATGCTCATATTATAAAGACATGGCGGGGGGAAATGTAATTTAATGCAGTGCTTCTTGTACAATCTGAGACACTTTAAATCGGATATCACTCAGCTAGAGGAGATCGCTGATTTTTATAGAAAACAGACCTTAAACGCGTCAGATTTTATATTGGCATTCAATTCGCCGGAAGCGCTTAACCCAGGTTAATGGCAAATTAAAAGTCCTATTAGCATGCTTTGGCATATACCCCATTCAGCCCTAAATGTGTTCATTTTGAACAGTCGGCCATATTCACAGCTCGCTTTAACAATTTTAAGATGATTTGGCAGATGCTGGATATTTTAATCATGATAACTGATCTAATGGTTTGTTAAATGATACACAAAATATTCCATGTCAATTCTAATATTTAATCACTTTTGCAGCAAATGACTATCAAAGTACAACTGTGTTCACAGTCAATTAAATAGTGCTAATGTTGTTTTCAAGTAGTACCTCATGCGATTTCAGACCCAATGTTCAAAGTACTATGGTAAACAAAACAAGGAGTGTGTTACTGAATGAATGTGCGAATATAAAACCTTTAAATATTCGGTCTGAAATAACATGTTAGTATGACTTCAAAACAACATTAGCACTATTTAACTGACTGTGAACACTGTTGTACTTTGATAGTCATTGGCTACTAATGTATGATTTCACTATTTTGAATTAGCAAACAACACTTTCTGAAATTATAATATTGAGAATGTCTGAATGTGTGAATATAAAACCAACTTTACATCAATGTTAAATTAATAATCATCCAAAATGTGGCCAACATTTTTTCCTGTGGTACTCTGGGATAAACTGAGATCTTAATGAAGTGAAACCATGAGTTGTGTTCAAGATAAACAAGTTAATTTGGTCCTAAATGTGTTCATTTTGACCAGTCGGCCATACTTCGTAGCTCGCTTAAACAATTTTAAGATGATTTGGCAGATGCTGGATATTTTAACCATGATAACGGATATATAATAACTTTAACTGTTAAAAGCTATTAGTTACTAGTTAATTAAAGTTATTAGAATGTAATAAGTTATGTTAACTAATAACATTAACTTTTCCGAATTTGATTGTAATGCAAAAAATGGTCATCTTTTGTAAAGCTGCTTTGGAAAATAATTGTGAAAAGCGCTATACAAATAAACTTGAATTGAATTGAATTTGTTGTAGGCTATTTGTACAGGCTTTATACTTTCACACGTCAAGAGTATAGTACTATTTAGCAATCTATTTAGCTTTACATTTAGAGCAGTTTATCTATATGACATTTATTAATCCTGTCATATGAGGCATAACTGGCATTTTTTATTTTTATTTTGCATCAAAAAAGTGATTTAATATTTGTCTTCTGCATCCCCTGCATAAAATCTGTGTAAATTATCCATTGTTGTTCTCATAATGGCTATTAAAATCATGCTAAATTACATTCAAGCTAAAACCATTTTAATATTTTGTTTTTATTTTATATTTGAATATTGAATTAATAATATTTAAGCACATATTATTAGCATACAGGAGCCTGTTTTTACGTTCATTTGATGTCATGGTAATTTACAGTAAATTTTAGTCAATGAAAAGTCTGGGAATTAGATGTTTGGCTTAAAGTTTCTTGCACAGACAGATCTCATCTTGTTTCATAAGCCTCAACATATTAGCAAGAGGTATTCATTTAGTTTTGCCTGTATATTTTTTGCCTCTCAAAGTGCCAGTAGCCCTTGAGTTACATTTGATGAATCACCAAACATCGCACTTTTAGCTAAAAACTCTCTTTTATGCTCTTCTTTAAAAAAGAGCACATTTATATTTTGTGTTGTGAATTATGTGTCCTATAGGTTCCCTGGATTCATTATGCCATGTCTTGGCGTTCATCCTGTCCAAGATCCAGCACAACCCAGAGGAGCTGTACCTGAGGTCGGAAATATGCATATATATATTACAAAAATCTGCATATTTAATAATTGTATTTACCAGTCTTGCATATGAAACACATTTCATTTTTCTCCTTTACAGGATTTAGATGCAGCTTTACCACTGATCGACAAATACAAAGAGCACATCGTGGCTATCGGTGAGGTTAGACATATACTATATAACTACTTGTTCTTGAGGGTTGAGATAAGTATAGGATAGACTTATGTGGGTAGGTCCATGTTAAAAGGGATAGTTCACCCGAACACCTTTGAGTTTTTCTTCTGTTGAAGATATTTTGAAGAATGCTGGCACCTATTCACTTCCATAGTATTTTTTTACTACAGCATTCTTCAAAATACCTTTTTTTGTGTTCAAAAGAAGTAAGAAACTCATAGATTTAAGATTTAAGACTCAAGGTGGCATGGTGACTCAGTGGTTAGCACTGTCACCTCACAGCAAGAAGATAGCTGGTTCGAGTCCCAGCTGGGTCAGTTCAGTTGGCATTTCTTTATGGAGTTTGCATGTTCTCCCAGTGTTGGTGTGGGATTTGTCCGAATGCTCCAGCTTCCCCACAGTCAAAACTATAGGTGCTATTGACCTTATTCTAAAATGCGAAAGTGCGCCTGTTTTCCGATTCAGTCGCCTATGGGAGAAATGACTAGGAATAATAAACGGCAGAAAACGGTCAAACTACTTGCTCTACAAACAAATGTTTTCATGACTATATAGACCAAGTAGAACAATATAATAAGGAACTATCAGTTTGCAACATCAAACAGCGAAACGAGCAGTTTTTAATGTCTAAAAATGAATGGAAGTGAATGAGACTGGAAGTCTCGAGCCAAAAAGATTCAAATGGCTGCGCCCGCTCTTCGGCCAAGAATAAGCTGAATAGGTGATTTCAATAAAGTAAATTGGCCGTAGTGTGTATGGGTGTTCCCCAGTACTGGGTTGCGGCTGGAAGGGCATCCGCTTTGTAAAACATATGCTGGAATAGTTGGCGGTTCATTCTGCTGCGGCGATCTCTGAAATAGAGACTAATCCAAAGGAAAATGAATGAATGATAGACTCAAGATTTAAATTCCCATGTGGGTAGGTATATGTTTAAAGGGATATTTTATATAAAACCTATTTGTGTTTTTCTTCTGTTGAACACAAAAGAAGGTATTTAGAAGAATGGTAGATGTCACCCATTCACTTCTATAGTAATTTTTTCCCCACAGCATTCATCAAAATATTTTCTTTTGGCTTCAACAGAAACTCATAAAGGTTTAAAACCACATGAGGGAGAGTAAATAATGAGGAGGTTTCCAATTTTGGGTGAACTATCCTCTTTTTCCCTTAAAATAGTTAACTTGTTTTGCTACTGGTAATGCAATAAGTGATGCAAAATAATTTGTTACACTTTTATTTATCTGTGTTTCTCTCTTCCATCAGCACCTAAATTAAAGGGGACCTATTATGCAAAAATCACTTTATGTGTGAATATAACCAGCTTCTAATGGTAAAATTGTAATACCTTTTCATTTTTATAATCACACTTGATAAAAACAGTCTGAAGAAACACTTTGATTGACATTCTCCCTTTGTACGTGTCATCACAGAGAGTAAGCCCCGCCCATTCGTGACATTCTGTCCCTCATTAGTATAGGACGTCAGTTAGTATAAGACGTCAGTTTTTGAATCTGCCACTATGCTGACACACGGGCATTTGTAGCCTGTGAGCACAGTCTCATTTAAATTTAATGCGATAGTCACCAAAATAACACAATTGTGACCAAAGCTTAAAAGGAGCAAACTTCACATACCCACTCTATGGACATCAGAGGCTTATTTTACATTTTGTTAAAAGGGGCATAATAAGTCCCCTTTAAGTTATTAGTGATGTCTTTCTGAATGATTCACATGTAGGTTGGCTTGGATTTCACACCTCGTGTAGTCAACAGTGATGCTGGGAAAGACGGTCAGAGAAAAGTGCTCATTCGACAGGCTGAAATTGCAAAACAGTTGAATCTGCCTCTGTAA